CTTCTTCCTGTTTGCTTCCTTTTCATGTTGCTCCAGCTCCAGCTGGGCAGCACTGACTCCTCCCCACCTGAGTTTCTAGACACTGACAAGACCCACCTCGCTGGTTCTCACAACCTAGAGGTGGGAGCTTCTTCCTGCTGTATCAGGGTTACTCAATGTGTTCCCTTTTGCCTTCCGGCCTCTCATACCAGTGAGGTCAACCCCTTAACTTCAGCGCTGCTTGTGGAAATACACAGCATGGTTTCTGTTCTCCTGCGGCCACTCCTGACACCAGCCGCGGTTGGGTGTCAGCAGGTGCCAAGACCAGAAAGGGCATGAGGAAGAACCTCAGCCCACAGGTGGGGGCAGGGGATGGGTCACACGCGGAGGCAAGTCTCAGGGGGTCCCAGGAGACGGGTGGCACGTGGCAGGAAGGGAAGAGTCTAGACCGATCGAAAGGTGGATTTTGTACTGGGCTCGGAGGGTCAGGGTGCTGGATAGGTGGGTTGCAGCGAGAAGTGGAAGGCTTCCACTAGGGAAGATGCAATGTAGATAAAGATAGAGACCATAGGGCGGAGAGGAGAGTTGTTCTCAGCCCCTGGCAAGATGGGGCTGGAGGAGGCGGGACCTCTAGGACCTGGCTGTGTGATGTCGGGCAGGTCATTTGGCCTCTCAGATCATTGATGCTATCAATGCCATCATCTGAATGCTTCCATCTCTGAAGCAGGTTTTTTAAAACACACAAGTTCTCTCTCTCTTTTGGAAATAGAAAGTTCTTTGCCAGCATGAGGACTTATTGGTATTTGATGCTATTCTGAGTAAGTGGTGAAGGATTTCAATACCCCCCGCCGCGGGTATTTCCAGGCTGGGAAAGAGAGGAGGGTGGGAGCCCAGTGGGGAAGAAGGTGCGGACGGCCCCAAGGGGTGTGGTGGCCCACACTCAGCCTGGGAGGAGAGGTTGGGCAGGGTGTGGGAAGCCACGGGAGGGGAAGGTACGGTGGGGTCTGCCTGATGAAGGAGTATGGGAAACGAGGTGGAGGGTGATCCAATCGGGTTGGGGGGGAAGGTGCCCTCAGTTTTCGTGGTCCCAAAGACACTGCGAGTGGAGGGCCGTTGGCCCAGAGTTGGCCAGCATCTCCGAGAAGTGTCTGCTTTTCTCCATCTGCCGCCCATTTTATATCTTTCCAGGTAGAAGACACCATGGGGTTACAAAAGCATGCTATCAATCACAAATTCATGAAAACTGACCTAGGCCCCGCCCAGACCATGGAGGAAACAATGTTAGTGGAGACCATGTATGGGTCAGACGTTGTGACGCCCAAGCAAATAGAGAGAGGGTGAACTGGGGCCTGCAGGTCTGACCTCACCCATCCTGAGCCTCCGACCTCAGCCCCCAGGGCCTGGAGGCTGCTCTTAAAAGGAAACTGCTTGATACAGATCAGGAGAAAGAAGATGTGCCCTCCACAACCCCATCTCCCAGCTGTACATGCACACTTCCAGAGATTTTTCTGAGTTTGTACGTGGAAATGCAAGACATGGCATCTGTATAGTTTGTCGCCTGGGCTTTTCACTCTGCAGCTCATCGTGACCACCCTTCGGTGGCCTTCAATGTGCTTCTGCAGCAACTTTCAAGCGGTACCGCAATGGGACAGTGAGGGTCATTGGCTTAGGGCTGTCCCGCTCACGGAGTGCTTAGCGTTCATGATTTGATTTCAGCCCTTGACCTTCCTTCACTGGGGGCTCTCCCTTAGGTAAGGCTGCTTCTAAGAGGGGCCACCGTGCCTCCTGTGCGCCCCCCAGTCTCTCACAGCCCCACCTTCTTTCGTCCTGCGTCAGGGCCATGCTGGCTGCACCCCTCCCCTCCAGCTCCCCGTCATGTCTGACCAAGATGCACGACCTTTTGTGCCCGCTCTCTCCTTCCTCAGCCTCCCAGAGAGGAAGAGGCCCTGTCTCACTTTCCTGAGGGTCCTTCTTCGTAGTCTCAGGACTTCTTCCCTAGTCTTCTGTGCGCCCTCCATCCGCCGCCTCTCCCTGCACCTTTGCCCACCTCCCCCTCCCACAGTTCTGCCCAAGGAGCCGCCTGACACCACCCGGGAGGGGGGGGACCCGAGAGGCCCTCTGCCACTTCATCTCTGGAAGTGACCAAGCAGAAAGTGTCCCTGTGGTTGCTCACAAGTGGAAAGGGAAGGAAAGAGGCCAGGGGGGAGCCTCTAAGCTGCTACCGCGCTCAGGGACAGGTTCTGGGCTCCTGTCCCCTCACCGCCTCCCAGCACCCATCCTTTCCCGTCCTGACCTCTGAGGCGGCCTTGGCGGTTCAGAGCTGCAGCTGCTGGGGGTGTTGGTGGGGGGAGAGGCAGGAAAGAATATCTTGTGCCCACGAATGAGCCTCCCCTTTCTCCTAGGATTTCAGTCACCGTCTTTGTGCTGGGAGAGCCTCCCTTCTGCTCCTCCCCAGCACTTGCTTCTTCCCAGGGCCCCCATCCCTTCTCTCCCGTGCTGTGGTGGGAACGATGCAGGTGGGGAGAGTGGCTCCTGGCCTGCTCAGTCCAAGAAGCCAGACTGCTCAGATGTCCTGCTTTCTCAGGAACCGAATCAGGGAACATCCAATATCCAATACTGGGAGTCAAGATTACTACAATATCTACTGTCAGCCACAATTCTGGGCCAGGGGCCAGTCTCCTGATTTTGGAGAAGGGCAAATACCCCTGAGTTAGGGTGGGGTGCTCCCCTCGCTCCTCACCACACCCACTCTGAAACCGCCCCCCCCCCGGTCCCACGGCCACAGCAGGGACGTTGGAACTCTTTGCTGTGCAGCCCCTTTGAGATCCCTACTTCTGTCAGGCATCAGGGGTAACTGAAGACTTGTTCTCAAGCTCCTGGCCATGCTCCCAGGGGCTCATCAAGAGCCTCCCTCTGACCGTGCTCCCAAGGACTCATCAAGAGCCTCCCTCTGACTGTGCTCGCATGGGCTCATCAAGAGCCTCCCTCTGACCGTGCTCCCACGGGCTCGCCAAGGGCCACCACCCGCTCATCTTTGGAGTAAAGCACAGCGTTCTTCTGAAGCCCTCCCTTCTTCAACTTTCAATCCCTTCCTTCAGCCGGTCCACATCCCGACGACCACACCTGTAAGGCGGGCAGCGCTGTGCAGGTTAGGGGTATGGGTGGCAGGGAGAGGGCTTGACCCCACTGCTGCCGTCTGGGCCTGTGTGCTCTGTGTGAGGGTGCGGGCCTCCCCCTGGGGCTTCTGTGTGGAGCGTCCCTCCCTTCTAGGCTGCAGGAGGCCGTCAGAGATCAGCGCCCCAGGAGAGAGAACCTCACGCACTCCCGGCTCCCTAAGCTGTGGTTCCACTAGCAACCATTAGGGGTCACTGTTGCTTCAGCCACCAGGGACCGGCAGGGTCCCGGCAGGGGTCCAGCGGGACAGAGGGTCCTTGCCGCCCACCGTGACCCTGCCAGGGCAGGGTGCAGGAGTTTTGTAATCGTTATCGCAGAGACGGTCTCACAAGACTCTCCCCAGGCTCCGCGTGTGTGGCCGCGCGGAGCCGCGTGGGAGCCACGGCCCCACAGCTGGATGCAGGAGGGGCTGGTACAGAATGGGAGCGCGGCCAGCCCCTTCTGCCGCCATCCTCCTCACCAAGGTTTAAGTCCTTTATCTGCAGCTCTTCCCCTCAAATGCCCTGACGGTCTTGGCATAAGAGCCTGCAAATGGACTCCGCCGCGCTCCTGCAGCATGCCTCCGGGGCATCTCCGCTCTGGCTCATCCAAGGGAGCCAGACACGCAGACTCTGTTCTGATGCGCGTTCCTGCCGGGCTGGGGGGGGGGGGGGGGGGGGGGGGGCATCCAGCGCGGACTGGTAATCGGGGCCCCTCCCCCGCCCGTTCTGCCCACTGCGTCTGTCCTACGTGCCCGGAAAGGCGAGGGGCCACCCAGAGATGAGGGTGGGGACAGGCCCAGTGCAGAGCTTCCCTGCCGGGCTCAACCGCGGGTGGCCGCCTGCCTGAGCAGCAGGTAACAGCGGGGTTGTCCTGCTCCACCGCCTCGGCACCCTGGCGGTTCAGGCCCTGGCGGAGGTGCGGTCTGACGGCCCCGTACTTATCCTGTATCCCCAACTTAGGGTCACCGCATCAGGTCCCCAGGGAGGGGGGAGGAAGCCCAGCCTGTGTTAACACCGTATAGATGGAGAGATGATGGGCTGCCCGGGACCACGGCACAAACAGCCTTTATTGTATCTTTTCCAGCCCTCCCGGGAGAGGCAGGGGTGGGGGCAAGAGCCAGGGCAGGGAGGAAGCGAGGCTCTTACAGCCCTAATCATCGGAGGGTAGGCGGGAGGTGGAGGGGAGGGGCCTGGGAGAAGGGGTGAAGCTACACCAAGGGATCTGCCTGGGGAGGAGGAAGGAGGAGCACCAACCTTGGGGGTTCCCAGGTATGGCAAAGGAGGGGAAGGGGTGAGGCAGGTTGCGGGGCGGACTGGACCCGTGCTCACCCAGGTCTCTGGGTTCTCCGCACACCACCTGATGCATGGGGCAGAGGGGGTCGGTGAGACACCATGCTAAGGGCAGGGGTGTGGACACCCCATCCCCAGCATCCCAGACATGGACAGAAAGGCTTCCAGGCCTGATGCGGCGTGCTCTCCTGGCTTCGAGTGTGTTGACGGCCCCATGTGTCCACAGGAGACCCAGAGCTGAGGGTGGGGTTCTCCGGACCCCGCCTTCCGAGTGGGTGAGCCCCTCTTCCCAGTCTGAGTAGGGCCCCCACTCTGAGGGCCTGGACCTCTCGTCCACTCCTCCTGCTGTGACCTTGCTCACTTTCTCATGGAAAATGAAGACTACTGAGAAAATCTTCCTTACAAGGAGTCCGCTCTGACCCCCCAACCCCATCTTTCCTCTCCCGCTCCCTGGCCCAGCCTGGGCACCCCCTGGCCTTTCTGAGCACGGGATGGGGTGTGAATGTCTGCACACTTCGTGGCCGCAAAGGTCAGGACCCTTCCTCTCTGCCAGGCATCCAGGGAATAGGGTGCCCCTCAGTGCCCTGGACCCCCATTTTGAGGGCTGTAGTCTGAGGAAGCCCCTTCTGGGGTGGGTAGGGAGTTGGGTCTGGCATCAGGCAGCAGGGCCCCCTGGGCTCCCCGGCACTCTGGGCTATAGTAGAAGGAAAAGAGGCGGAAGGAGGGCCGCAGCTCCCCCCGAATGCTGTCCAGGATGCGGGTGAAGGTGGGCCGCAGACGTGGGTTCTGCTGCCAGCAGAGGCTCATCAGCTCCTGCCTGGTGGGGCGGGGGCAGCATGAGAGGGCAGCTGGTGCAAGGGGGATCGTGGGGGGCTACTCCTTCTGGTGGGGCGGGGGCAGCGTGAGAGGGCAGCTGGTGCAACGGGGATCGTGGGGGGCTATATCTGGGAGGGCCATGGGGGAGTCAGCAGGGTTGGAGTGGGTAAGGCTCAGAGCTGGGGACCAGTGGATATGAGAGCATCAGAGGAGGTGGGCCAGAATCGTGGGGGCAGGGCAAGCTAGACAGAGCAGGGGTGAGGAAAGGGCAGGGGGTGACTTACAACTGAAGGGGACAGCTCTCCAGCTCCTCCAGAACCCCACCATCCATGACAAACTTGAGCACCTGCTCATTGGATAAGCCCTGGTAGGGCTGTTCGGCCAAGGTCACGATCTCCCAGAGCACCACACCGAAGGACCTGGAGGATACGCAGAAGGGCCTGAGCCCAGCGCCTTGCACGCTGCTCAGCACACCCAGGCCTCACCCTAGACCCCACCTCCACATGCCCCGAGCCCTCTGCTCCAGCTAGGCCCCACCAGACATCCGAGTGCGTCGTGAAGATTCCATCTTTGAGGGACTCGGGGGCCATCCAGCGCACGGGCAGCAGCCCCTTCCCACCCTTGCGGTAATAGTCTGTCTCATACACGTCTCGAGTCATCCCGAAGTCTGGAAAGTGAGGGTGAACGGGTATGGGGGCAGCAGAACCACGCGCCAGCCCCCGCGCAGAGATACCTCTCCCGCTCCATAGCCTCCAAGAATTCTGGAACTTGAGGGCTCAAAGAACCTCAGAGATCATCCTGCCCCAACCCCTGTGGCCTTGGATGAGGAGCCTGAGACCCAGAGGGGGGCCGCTGTGGGGGACAGAGCTGTCGGCCGGGCCTCGGGCTCCTAGCCTAGCTTGGGGAGTCCCTCTACTCCTCAGGCTGCCCCACACCCGCCCAGCACTCTCTGTACCCCCGATCTTGACTGTGAAGTCCTGGGACACCATGCAGTTCCGGGCCGCCAGATCTCGATGCACAAACTTGTTGGCGGCAAGGTAGGCCATGCCATCTGCAATTTCACCAGCCATCTGGATCATATCTCCCAGTGCTGGCCGTGGGAGCCCCGGGTTGTTCTGGAGCCAAGAGAGGGGGCTGGTGAAGAAGGAACCTAGAGGTTGGACTCCTGCCCAAGGATCCCCCCACAACTGTGCCCAAGCCTTCTCTAACTCCCCAGCCCCTTGGCCCAGGGTCTTCCTGGTCTCCACCTCTGCCTCGGGCCGCAGAGATCGAAGATGGCTCTTGAGGTCCCCACGGTTCATTAACTCCATGATGACCAGAGTTGGCTGGCCCTGAGACACCACACCCAGGAGACGTACCTGGGATGGACAAAGAGCCTGGTTGCAGGTCCACCCAGGTCCCCTTGACCCACCTGGCCAAAATGTTGACCTGTTGTGACCACCACCTGACCCTGACACCAACCCTGACCCTGAACCCAACCATGACCATAACCCTAACTCTAATCTAACAATGACCCTGACCCTAACCCATGACCTTGATCATAACTATCATTCCAGTCTTCATGATTCACCCACTTCTGACCTTGATCCCAATCATGATCCTAACAATGATCCGGACACTCAGTACTGACCCTCATCCATGACTGCTCTCAGCCCTAACCATGGTTTTACCACGGCCTCACCATGAGCTGGTTTTGACTCTAACCCTAACCATGACTTTTACCTCAGTCCCAACCCTGACTTTGATGGTGCCCCGACCTTGTCCTTGACCCTATCCTTCTCACCATATGACTTTCACCGTAATTATGACTCTACCCTGGCAATGTCCCTGATCCTCCCTTACCACGTGGTGACACTTGAACGCCTTCATGACAGAAGCTTCCTTGAGGAACTCAATGCGTTCTCGTGGGCTGGCCAGCTCATTCACGGTCTTCAGGGCCACGGGTGTGGACTCCTCTCCAGCCTCCAGTCCCTGTGCCAGTCCCTCATATACCATCCCGAAGGAGCCCTGGCCCAGTTCCCGGATTATGGAGATCTGCTCCCGAGGCACCTCCCACTCGTCAGGGATGTACACTGAGAAGAGGTGGGGGTCACCAGGCAAGACCACTGCTCTCTGCCATGAACCCACCCGCTTCTCGCCTTTCAGAAGGGCTCGGGTTCCAAGGCTGCTTCTCCAGGAATGTCTCCTCGAGTGGGCCTCTCCTCCCCTCCCGTCTCCCTTTCCCACATACCTGTCCACCCACTCCCAGACCTACTATCAGAGGCGCTGAAGTACTCCGGATTCACGGAGGCGTACAGGGTGCTGTTTCTGCAATGGGAGGGGAGGGGGTCAGGCCATAAAGGTCCTCAGGAAGGAAGGAGCAATGTCAGAGGACAAGCAGGAGGGAAGTTACTGACCACACTCCCTCCCGTCCCTGATCAGGGTGTCCCTGGGGAGCCCTACACACTTTTCAAGCTGGTCTTGGTCCTGGTCCTGGGACCTGGGATCTGAGAGGCTGGGACGAGGGAGCACAGGAGCGGGGGGACTCCTGCCTCCTCAGGTAGTCCTTAGAAGTCAGCTAATCAAAGTCCTGCCCCCATTTCCCTCTCGTGTTCAGCCCCAGGGGCATCTGGCACCAACCATCCCAGGGCACATGGTGAGGTCTCTGTATCTTCCCCTGCTTTATTGGCTGAGAATGTGGTGACCAACAGTCCCAGTGCGCCCAGACTGGGGAGTCCCAGGAGGCAAGACTTTGGTAAGGTCGGGGAAAGTTGGTCCCTCAGACGGAAAGGTGTGTCTCCTCCATGCTGCCCTCGGGATGAGCTATTGCTTCTAAGCAACGTGGACCTGCTGTCTCACTGACCAGCCTCCGGGGGCACCGACCTTGGATGAGGGCTGGGAGGGGGGGCGAGAAGGGGGGTGGGAGCCGGTAGGACTAGCGTCGTCACCTCTTCCGGCCGTAGAAGAAAGCGAGGGCAGCAAGAATGAGGAGCAGCGTGAGCCCCACGGGGGTGACGGTGAGAAGGACGTGCAGCCCCCCGGAGTCTTCTTCCTCTGGTGGTCAGAGGGCAGCAGATGGTAGGGTCAAGATGGAGAAGTCAGAGGGTAGAGGACACCTCAGTTTCCACCATGGGAGGTGAGAACAGGCGGAGGGCTGGGGTGGAGTGGCCACCACAGGAGACGTGGCCGGGGACCCAGCTGGGGCTATGGGGAGTGCAGGTCCCGGACCGAGGCTGTGTCTACCTGGGCCGGGGACGTAGAAAGCGACGCTCTCTGTCCAGGAGCCGTTGCCCGCCAGCGAGGTTGCCCGAACTCTGGCAGAGTAGTTTCCAGGGGGCAGCAGGGCCAGCTGGACACCGCCAAACTTGGCATATCGTAGGCGAGACACACACAGCACTGTGGCCTCCTGAGGGCAAGACAGAACGGCTGGCTGGGAAGAAGATGGAGGCACTATTTGAGTTCAGGTCTGGGGGTCCCCCGGGGAACCTACCTCTCCCAAGCGGCGGTACTTGATTTCGTACTTGAGGATGAGTCCGTTAGGGTCTGGGGGCTCCAGCCAGCGCAGGAGGACACTGCCTTTGCTGGCTGCCTCCCAGGCCACCTTCCCTGGGATACCGTCGGCTTCTCCTATGGGAGACGGCATCAGACAGCCCAGCCGCAGCATTTCCTCTCAGCTTCACGTTCAAGCTCAAGGGGGCTAACCTCGGGGGGGGGGGGGGGGGCGGCAAGCTCGGGCTTATGGGGACTGGGAGGGGTTAGCAGAGCGAGGCCCTGGAGTTATGGGGACGGCGAACTCGAACTCCTTAGTTGGAGTACTGATTGGGTAGAGTCCTTGGGGTCGGGGGCTGGGGGGGGTCACCTACTGTGGGGCATGGTGCGCGAAAAGACGAAGGTGGCCGCACTGCAGCCTACGGTGTGCGCCGCGTGGTTGCAGGCATGGATGTCGATCCGGTATTCCGTGAAGTGGCGCAGGCCACTCAACACTGCGCGCTCCCGGGGCACTTTGTCCTCCTGGATCTCGAAATCCGAGCTGTTCCCCCCAAGCCGGAGGGCCCCGGCGGCCCGGCGGTGCCTCCCCGAGTCTCTGGGGAGTGCGCGAGTCAGAGCGGCGGCCGCGCCCCGGGACCCCCGCCCCTCCGTCCCGCCCGGCTCACCTTTGAGGGCTCTTATTGATGGACGTCACCTTCCAGGGGGATCTGGGGAGACCCGGGAGGGCCACGTCAGGCCCGGCCCTCCTCCCACCCCTCGCCCGGCCCGGCCCTCCTCCCACCCCTCGCCCGGCCCGGCCCTCCTCCCACCCCTCGCCCGGCCCGGCCCTCCTCCCACCCCTCGCCCGGCCCAGCGAGACCCGCCCCTCCCCGGCCCCGCCCACCAGGCCCGCCCCGCCCCCGGCTCGGGCCGCACTTGGGGATGGTGATGGCGTTGTGCAGAAAGTTTTCGAACTTCTTCTGGAACGAGGCCTCTTGCGCCTCCAGCGGTGGCAGGACCTGCCCGGGAGGGGGCTGCTGGCAAGGGCAGCAGCCGGGCTCCATCTCGGCTTCCAGTTCCCCGTCTTCGCGGTCGAAGCGGGGGTCGTTGTTGCTGGTGGGCAGCCGCAAGCCTGGCGCGGCGCGGGGGAAAAAAACGCAGTCAGACGGACAGCGCCCGGGCCCCGCCGCCCCGACCCGCCGGCCTGAGCCGCTGCCCTGCGCACCGCGATGGCAGTAGTCGTTGAGATAGAGGTCGCCGTCCTCGGCCAGACGCTGCCACAGCACCAGGTAGTAGGTGATGTTTCCGTTGCGCTGAGTCGGTGGCTTCCAGCGCACCAGCAGGTGGGACGAGGAATTGGACGTGGAAATGACGTCCTGGGGCACCGTGGGCGCTGGGGGCGCAAGTAAGGTACGACTGAGGGGCAGTGGGTCCCCCTTTCTAGTACTGTCTGGTAATGACCCCTCTCTGGGGTCCGAGCCCCTCGCATCCTCCCAAGGAACCCATGACTCTCAACCTCCCCTTCCCGGAACTCAGAATCCTGGCCTTCCCATGTCCCTCGAAGGCCCTTGAGTTGCCTCAAGTATTCCGCCTGCACCCTCCCACCCACAGCCTCCCTAGGGCCCTAGGCCAATGCCCTCTGTTCTTTCTAGGACTCAAACATCTGGCTTCTCAGTCTCTAGGGGCCTGGTGTTGAGCGACCCAGCTTCTCTATTTCTGATGCCTGGGTTCCCTCATTCCCATTAGGACTCAGACATCTAGCTCCCACCCCCTTCAAGGTCTTCAGCCTACCCGCAGGCAGGGTTCGGAGGTAGATGATGGGGCTCTGGGCTCCTTGGTGGGGGCTGTCCTCAGCAGTGGTCAGTGTGATGGCCCGCACAAACACTGCATACTGTGTCCAGGGCTTGAGGGGCGCCAGAGTCACCCCGGGGTCCTGGGTGCGGCTTAAGGGCAGCTCCACATCCAGCAGGTTCCAGCTCTGGGTCCCACAGGCATCCGGACCTATGTGCTCTGTGGCATTCTGGAATGGGCTGAACATCCCATCATCCCTAGAGCTGAGGGGCGGCTCAGCCCCACCCCGGTTTCTAGAACCACCCTAAGACTGTGATTGTCATTCTTCTTCCAGTATGCATGAAGAAAGACATCCTGCTCTTTGGGAGCACTCACTGGGTGGGTCTGCTCAGAGCTGGGATTGAGCCAGAACAGCCGCAGCCAGACTGCGAGGCCGTGATGCTAGGGGAGCTTCCTGAAGGACCCCTAATATTCTTTACCTCCTGAGCCCAGAGGCACCTGGGTACAGTTGTGTGGATTGTGAGCTGCACAAGCCAGGCAGGGGGTGCCATGCACACTGCCAGCCCATGTTAGTTCTCCCCAAAACGTGGCCCATGGACCAGGATTACCTGGGAGCTTGTTATTAAGGCAGATTCACGGGTTCTCCCCAGGACTGAATCAGAATCTATGGGGATGGGGCCCAGGAATCTGTATTTAGCAAACTCTCCAGCTCCCCATGCTGGAGACCTTCACCTACCACTGAGGCCCAGGAGAGCCTTGGCCATTTGAGCCGGCCTCCCACCACTGACTCCCCTTCCTCCCTCCCAGGCCAGGCCCTGTGCTAGTGGGAAACTAAGACCTCTCCGTTTTAGTTCACAGGAATGCTTCCAAGCCAGGTGGCTCCCATCTTCTGTCTACCCTAGAGGGGGAGTACTCCCCACGGCTGCCCTCCCAGCCTGCCACCCGGAACCCACCTCTCCTCTAAGAATTGTAGTTTTGATTTCTAGCCATGCTTTTGGAGAAATCCTTCCTGTGGTCTAACCACTATCCCTCCTGCTATGGTCAGTGCACTCTCTCCAAAGAAAAGAGCAGCCTGTCCTTGGTTGTCCCTGCTCCCTCCCTTCCTCAGGCTTTAATGAAATGCTGGCAGAGCTACGCATAAAACCGGCCAAATTAGTGGGTACTCCCCAAACCGCTGCTGGGGCAGGAGCATGTGGTCAGTTCAGAACATTAGCATAGTGAATTGAAGTTTAATTATCCAAGCCTTCCCAGCGGGGCTCTTCTCCTGGTCTCTCAGAAGTCCTGACTGTCCTCTCCGTTTCGCTGGTGAGGCGAAACTGAGGCACGGAGGGTGAATAAAGTGAGGGGAGAGCCAGACTTGGGCCTTACAAGGGAGTGAGACTTGGGGGTCCTGGCTTGCTTCCCTGCAGCCCCGCGGCGCTCTGCCCTCACCCCTCAGCGGTCACCCGGTTGCGTTTGTGAACAGATCGGCCGGGTGTCCGGGTCTGACCCCGCCCCACGGGGCTCTGGCCCCGCCCCCGGCACTCACGACTCCTTGTAGTACACGATGAAGCTGAGCAGGTCCCTGGCCTCCAGCGGCTCGTAGCGCTCCCAGCGCAGCAAGATGCTGTCGGCCTGCGTCACGTTGGACACGAAGCGCAGGGTGCGAGTCTGGCCTGGGCGGGGCGAGGGGCCAACACCTGCTGTCAGCCGCGTTCGTCTCCGCTGGAGTCGCCTACTTCCCGGCCCCCACCTTGACCCAGCGGATGCCACCCCCAACGCGGCCTCCGAAGAGAACCTATCGCGTTGTCCGCGTCAAACGTCCCCTCCCGCCCGGGTGCGTGTCTGGTGTGTTTCAGGGTGCGTGCGCGCGTCTGGGGTTTCTGGGGTCGTGTCGCTCTGGGGTTGTGGTGTCGGGCCTCACAGGCGGCGCGGTCTCCGTTGGTGCGGGGGTTGATCTCGGCCTTGTTTTGCCGTCCCCGCGTGCCGGTCACCTCCTCCAGGCGGTAGATGTGCTCCAAACAGAGGCGAGGGTTGAAGGCGAAGTATATCTTGCCCACGGGAATGGTGAGCCCCGCAGCCACCCAGGACCCCAGCTGCTGTAGATTCTGGTTGTCCAGCACGTACAGAGTGTAGTTCCTGGGGGAGGCCAAGAGACCTTCCGCTGCAGGGGAGGTGGAGGCCAGGGGTGGGGAACTGGGCGCCTTATGGGTCCCTCCTGGAGGGGCTGTGCTGGGGGCACAGGGGAGGAGGGGCACTCAGCCTGGGGCTATGCCTCTCCAATGGAGTGTAGGTACCCCTGGGGGTCCATGGTAGTTTGGGGGAGACATGAGAAACCACTCTGCTGCATGATAATTTAAAACATTCTCTGGGGGCGACTGGGTGGCTCAGTGGATTGAGTGTCCTCTTGATTTTGGCTCCAGGTCCTGATCTCTCAAGCTGGTGAGATCAAAACCCCTCTCGGGCTCTACTTGGGGTGTGAAGCCTGCTAAAGATTCTCTCTCTCTCTCTCTTCCTCTGCCCCCCCAACTCCCATGCCTGCATGCCCTCTTGTGCTATCTCTGTCTCTCTTGAAAATAAATAAAATAAAGTAAAATAAAATAAAATATAAAACAGGGGCGCCTGGGTGGCTCAGTCGTTAAGAGTCTGTCTGCCTTTGGCTCAGGTCATGATCCCAGGCTCCTGGGATGGAGCCCTGCATCGGGCTCCCTGCTCAGCAGGGAGCCCGCTTCTCCCTTTGCCTCTCTTTCTGTCTCTCATGAATAAATAAATAAATAATAAAAATCTTTTAACAAATACATAAAAATTAAAATAAAATAAGGCAAAACATTCTCTGTATTTTGAAAAATCCTAGCTATGTGTTACAGGTAGGCCTTGACGGGTGGGTGGCAGGGATGGGTTTCAAACCCAGGCGGTCTTGCTCTGCAGCTGAGAGCATCAGAGAGTAATGGTAGCTAACCAATGCGGAGTCTGATGGTACCATAACTTATATAGTATATACTGTGTTTCAGGTACTGTTTTAAGGACTTTACACATAACAACATAAGTGATATTCACAACAGCCCTAAGAAATAAGTAGCATTACATTAACCCCATTTTACAGATAAGAAAGTCGAGGACCAGAGAAGTTAAGTAACCTACCCAGTGTCACACAGGCAGTACACAGCAGAGCTGGTTCCAGAGCCCATGCCCTTTCCCCCTTTTTGGGGAGTGTTAGGGAGGAGATGTGATAGAGGGAGTTGGTCAGAGGCTGTTTCTGACCCCTTACCCATCCACCATGGCGTCCCCCCGGATTAGTTTGAGGTTCTTGAAAAAGCCCAGGGACACGAGGGCAAAGGAGTGCTTGATTTTGAGGAAGCCGGTGATGGTCTCTATCAGCCCCAGGCTGTGCTGCAGCTCCAGCTCCAGGTTATCTGGAAATGGAGAAGACAGGGCTGGAGCAGGGCGGGGAAAGTGTAGGGGGTGGGGTGGGGGGAGGTGCTGATGGGGTGCAGGGAGGAGGCCCCTCAGGACTGGGACCCAGGGTGATGGAAAGCAGTGCTTTAGCTGGGTCACTGTCAGGGGCATGGCCGGGAGGAGAGGTGCGGCCCGAGGAAGGTACTGACAGCCCTGGCGAAGGTTGACGATGAGGCTCCCCTCCACGTGGGTGCAGCCCACCAGGTCCTGTGCCGCCTGGATGGAGTCGATGGTCTTGGTGCCCACCTTGCACTCTTTGGGGCACAGCCCCTCACACTTGTGGCAGAATATGCTAGCAGGGGCAAGTGGAGGGTGTGGAATGAGCCCTGGACCAGTGGGGACCCCCTCACTGATCCAAGAGCGACCCCACCCCCCCTACACTCACCTGCTGCCATTGCGGGTGAAGCCCGGGGGGCACTGGGCCAGGCAGCTGCCCTCGTGGATGCCGAAGGTGGAGGCGCGGCCGGGCACAGAGCGCAGGCTGCCGCAGTGCTCTGCCGTGACACAGCGCCAGGCCTCATGCTGGTAGGTGCCTGGAGGGCAGGCCCGGTGGCAGGCGCCCTGGAAGTAGAGGTGGCGGCAGGCCACGCAGGCCCGGGGGTCTTCCGGCCGGCTGCAGCCCCCCAGGCATTCGGAGTGGCAGCACTCACCCCCAGCTGTGCAGGGCAGCCCATGGGGACAGGGACACACTGTGGACAGAGTGCTGAGTTAGGCCTCCCCGCGCCGGTCCTGGCGCCCCCCCCCCCCCCCCCCCGCGCCCCCGCCCCGGGATAACACTCTTAGAGAGCATCCAAATTCCTCCAGTGCAGATGACAAGGGCTGCTGGCTCGCTTTTCCCCAGATGGGGTTCTTGAGGACAAGGACCACGGCCCCTCTCTGTGGCTTCCCATGTTCCACGGCGCCTGGTCAGGGTTCAGAGCTCAGGACAGAGCGGTGACCTTGTCCACCAGGGCAGCTTCTCCCCAGCCTGCTGTCCTGTCTGGGCCCGGTGCTCAGATCATCACTGGGCACGGTGCCAGGGGGAACAGCCAGCTTCTACTGGGCAGTGAGGCCTGGGGCCAGTGGGCCTGGGAGTGTGTGCAAGCGGGGGGGGACCCCTGGTCATCTCCCCTGCCCATACCTCCTCCACCCTCCTCAGCTCTGTGCCCTGGGCAGGAGGCCGCCCCCAGCCGCCGTGGGTGGGTTTGGGGCTGGGGGCTCATGGTGTGCAAATTCTGCAGGTGGCAGCCTGCCGTCTGTGCGAGCGGGCGTGTGGTGGGGGCAGGGAGGGCGTGTTGATACTGTACATGAGGGAGGATGCTCAGCCACTGTGTTTACAGCCAACACGGAGGCATGGGGACGTGGGGCCCAGTGGATACAGAAGGGATCTGGTTACTCTGCTGCTTAGACGCTGAGGCTTTGGGGTGAGGGAGCCCCAGGTTGGGGACCCCAGAGCTACTCCTAGCCTCTGGAAACTCTTCCTTTTCTTCCTGTAACTTCTGCTTCCTCCTTGCATCATCCCCTTCTTGTATCACTTCCCCCCTTTGCTCGGCTCCCTTCCTTCTGTTCTCTCTCCATGTACCTTACTTCCTAAAGAAGATCGCACCTGTTCTCTCTTTCCTCGGTCACCTCCTTTCCTTGCCCACCCAGGCCTCCCCCAATACTGCCAGCCTGCCCTGGATCACCTGTGCTATGACCACTTTTATCAGGAGCCTAGAACTCCCACCAGGACTCAGGCACCCGCTCTAATGCTTAGAGAATAGCTCACTGAGGGAACAGGCTCAGGTATGTGACATGAAACAAACCATTAAGTCCTCTGGCTGAGATCGGAGCCCAGGCCATCTGGCCTTGTACTTAACCGCTGCCCCATATGGCTTCCTGCGCGGCCACCCGGCATCCTGCCCTGTCCCCCCTCCCATGCCCACCTCGCGCTTGTCCTGCCCCCTCTCCCTGACTGTCCTGCACGGTCCCTTGACAGCCTTACACCAACTCAGTTATTGAACTTTTCTGACCCACCCTGTGGCCGCCCAGCCCCGCCCGCCCCTGCCCTCCTTGTGCCCCCTGGTGTTCTGGGCAGGTGCCCACCTCTCTGGCAGTGGCTGGAGGTCCAGCATCTGTAGTCGGTGTGCCCACCAAAGGTGGTCCTGGCACAGGGCTGGCCAGTGGCGCCCAGCACGCCGGGGCACACGTCGGCACACTCCTCACGCAGCTTGTTGCCCACGATGTGGTTGGCGCCAGGCGAGGGCTGCAGTAGGCCCCAGTCGATGGTGGAGAGGTGGCAGAGCTCCTGGTTCTTCTCCACCCGCACGGCCCCGCGCAGCACGGCCCCCAGCGCCGGCAGCCCCACGTCCCGCAGGTGCGGCATCTCGTAGATGACCAGCGCGTAACCCAGGAAGAGGCGGGCCCCGCGGACCACTGCCAGGTTGGGGAAGAGGTCCCGCAGGCTCTCCAGACCATAGACACGGAAGAGTAGCAGGTACTCAGTGACCTGAGTGAGGCGTGGGAAGCTGAGGCCTCGGAAGTCCTCGCCCGTGGCCGTGAACATGAGCAGGATCTGCAGATGGCCCTCTACCACGCTGCAGTTCTCCAGCCGGCGCAGCTCCGCCACCTCCGAGCGGATATCCAGGCTGGGGCACACTGTGGGCACAGGTCACAGCAGCTGTCAGTGCAGCTCTGGCTGGGCACCCCGTCCTGCCCTGGCAGCTTTGGGGGAGGGGCACCTCTCTGGGAGTGGGACATCGTGAGGGAGCAGGGCTCTGCTGTGGCCTCCTCCCTGGGCCTCTGAGGCTCCTGGCAGCTTGAAGGGCCCCACCAGATGGGCTGGCATGGCAAATGTGAGCTCCCCTTCCCTCCCCAGCCTGCCTCCCTTCTCAGGGGACTGCCACTGCAACCCCCCACCCCCCAACCCCCCCCCTGGTGAGACTCCGAATCTAGAGTCTTCTTGGACTCCCTTCCTCCACTCCCCACACACCCTGTGGGCTCGATCTTCAAATTACAGCATATCCAACCGCTGGTCTCCACCTTCACTGCTGGCCCCATCCCTACCTCCCTGATTAACTGCAGGGGCCTCCCAGATGGTGCCCCCCCACGGCTGCCCTGGTCCCCTCCTGATCTGTTCTGCACTGGAGAGCCAAAGGGATCTTCTCAAAACAGGTTGGATCCCCTTCCTCCACTGCTTTAACCCCCCTGCTGGCCCCTTCTTGCTGATTGAAAGCTCCAGTCGTTACCCTAGCTGGCAAGGCCTCTGCAGCCTCTCTGGCCCCATCCCATCCCCTTCCTTCTCGTCTTCAGCCACACTGACATTTTGCTGTTCCTCACACAAGCCTGCCAAGCTTCTGCCCTGGGGTCTTTGCACCTTCTGTTCCCTCTGGCTAGAACACTGTTCCTCCTAAATGGTCCCTCACCTCCTTTAAGTCTCTGCTCAGATGGCCCCTCCTCAATGAGGCCGTCCCTGACCATCCTTTTAAACACTCCCTGCTTCCCTTTCTACTTATTTTTTCTCCTTAAATCTTAACACTGGCTAATATATATAATTTATTTTGTTTAAACTGTAAGCTCCAGAAGGGCAGGGATTGTATAATTCATTGCTGTATCCATGGTGGCTGGTCTAGAGCCTGGCACAAAATTGGTGCTCAGTCAATATCTGATGAACGAATGAATGAATTCCACGGCGGAGAAGCACAGCTTCATACATCCCACTTCCCTCCCAGGCCTAAAGGAGCTCGATGCCTGGTCCCCGCATTGCTTTACCCTCGAAGGGACGTTCCATGGCTCCCCATTGCCAGAAGTTCAAACTTAAATTCCTCAGCCTCACATGGCGGGGTGTTGATACACAGGCCCACACGAATACCTCCAGCCTCAGAGGGGTTCCTCAGCCTGGTCACAAGCTCAGCTCTTGTCCCACAAACCAACCGCAGGTCAAGCCCGCCTCCCGCAATCCTCTGATCTGCGTCAATCGCTTCCCCATCAGGCTGGGCAGCACCTGCCCGGGCACCCACAACCGCCGTCTACGTTTTTGTCACCCTCCAGGGAGGGGACCTCCTGAGGGTGGGGCCCTTGTTGGTCAGCACCGCGTCCCTCCATGGTGCTCAGTTCAGGACTGGAGCCACCAGGCACTGGGACCATGGTTTGAATTGATGGACATTTGGTTCTCAAGTCCACTCCTCTCCTGGGGACCGGGGTGTGTCTGGCTTCTTCTGACCCAGGCCCCAGGCCCACTTTCCTTTCGCTTCCCAAGGCACCTAGGACCAGTCCCCCAGTGGGCTGGGTACTTGGTCTGTGCGCTCTCACTTTGCTCCCGGGGATACCTTCCTTCCATGGCACGAGATGCAAGTCTGATTCTTTAGCTGGCCACTCGAGCCTGCTGGGCTGTCTGGCTTCCGCTCCCTCACTTCCTGCCTGGCTCTGGGCACTCTCCCACAGACCCAGGCCCAGCCCCTGCTGAGGAGGGGGTGGCTCCCTGGGGCTTACATCACACCTTCTCCTTGCTGTTGTTAATGGTCCCTGTGCTCGGCTCTGCCCAGTTACTGTGTGTGTGTGTGCCTGAGCACACGCAGGTACACACGCACACACACACAAAGAGAAAAATAGAATGAGAAAACACTTCTAGCCCTCCAGGCAAAGGCCAATCAGGGCCTGCAAGGCGCCCACATGCCACTTCCCATCATGCCCCTGCCTCTCTAGGGCTCCCCTGATGGGAGTCATTTGGAAAAACAAACCCACGACCTTCACAGATTAACCCCTACCTGCCTCCCCTCGGGACATGGCCCTCCGTGTGCAGAGCTGCACTGGGAATGGGACATCTGGGTCCCCTGTGACCAAACAACCAAATGCCACCCCCCACCCACTCCCTTCCGGGGACGTGCTCCTGGCTGGCATGCTGGTGCAGCAGTGGAGGAGAGGAGGGGGAGGGGCTCTTCCTTGCCCGCGATGCCTTCCTGACTGGCACTCTTCAGGGGACCCCCTACCCCAACCCATTTGCAGCTTTCCTCTGTCTCTGGCCTGCTCCTGGAAGCCCTCAGTCTGAGGGCATCACAGGACCCCTCAGGTGGCACAGAGCACTGGACCTCTGAGCTGCCTCAGTCTGGAAGGGGATCATGGAATTGGGGAAGGGCATGCTCTTAATCCTTCCCCTTTGGAATCTTGCCCGCTCAGCTCCCCGCACCCCCACGAGGGCCACCTGCTCTGCACACGGGAAGTGTCTGGCCCAGAGCACTAGCGAAAGGCAGCCCCCACCCCAGTGGATGGGCCCTAAGTGTGGGGGTCACGAGACAAGGCCCCGGGGCCAGTGCCCAAGGCCCCGGGCCAGCTTTCCGTCTCAGTTGTCTGAGCCTCAGTTCCTTGTCTGCACAATGGGTTCAGTTACTTCATGGTGCCCAGTTCGGAGCTACCCATCCCATCCCTGTGCCCGTCGAATTCAGTGGCCCTGGAAATGACCCCTAAGACTCTCCCCCTCATGACATTCTCATTCAGGCTTGCTGGGATCAGGGTTTCACAAGCGGGAATGGAGGACATCTCTTCATCCCTCTGTTTCAAGGTCCTTCTCACATCCCAGGGAACTGAGAGGAAACCACGCTTAGGTGGGAACTAACTGCCCTTGCTGGTAGGAAGTCCTTCTGAGAGCTAACCCCAGTCTTCATGTTGCAGTAGGTAAACACATATGTTCTAGTTGGAGACTCAGTTGTTTGGCTTCCCAGCTGGCTGGGGTGTGTGGGAGGAGTGGAGACGGGGCTCCAGGAGACAGTGTTGGGGGACTCACCCTCTAGTGTGTCCAGGCCAAATCCCAAGGAGAGGAGGATGGCGAGCAGGCGTGCTGCCCACCCGCACAGCCTGGGCCCTGCCATTGTCCCAGCCCTGCCTTGTGCCCAGTCCTGGCTTCTGCAGATGGCTCCAGGGAGGAGAAGGGACTGGCAGGCCCTAAGGGACACAGAGATGCAGGTTTCAGGGGGGAGGGGAGGGGAGGGGGGCACCGAGGGGGAATTCCATACAGAGATAGCAGGAGAGGGAATGAGAGCTACAGAGACGCGAAGACAGCCACAGGCAGCTGGGGACAGAGACTCAGTCTGAACCCAGAGACAGACCGATGAAGACAGCGATGCAGCCGGCAACAGAGCCCACCAGGACAGGCCTCCAGAGGGAGAAAGGCACGCGGGGTGCCGAGCAAAAGGCAGTCCAGGAGGCCTGCCGACCCCGAGCAAGCGCCGAAGAGAAGCCTGGGGATCCCGCCCGGGAGAGCGGCGCGGACTCGCGGGGGAGAGCGGCCCGGATCCTCGCGGCCGCCCGGCGCCCGAGCAACGGGAGCGGCAGGTGGCCGCGCGGGCCGCGCGATCTCCGGGCCCGCGCGCCTGGGGGCCGCGCCCAGCTCCCGCCCTCCCCGCCCCAGGGCCAAACGGATTGGCTTGCTGGGACCTCCGGCTCTCTCCGCCCTTCCCGCCAAGCCAAAATATTTAGCCTGACAACTCAGTGGGGGGACAGGTCTGTTGGGGAAATAAGGCCAAAATACAGGGGGATGGTTGTCCGGGAACCGAGCTCCCCTATTGCCCCTGCAGCCTCACTCACGTGGGGCCGCGCTGCCGGCAGAGGAGGGGGGCCGTGGGGGGGGGGCAGCGTTCTGCTGCCCGGAGCCCTGACACCTGCAGGGTGGCTTCTGGCAGCCACGACCCGGCGGAGCGAGCTTGCTGAAACCTGGCGGGAACGCAAACCGGGTCCTGAACATGCAAGCCGTTCGCCCCTCTGAGCCGCTCGCCGCCACCCGGGGGCTCCGTCCCAGCCAAGGCCCTCGGCCATAGCCAAGATCCTGTGGGCCCGGCCTCTGTCCAGTCGCCTTCCCAAATCAGGCTGCCGGTCGGTCTGTCTGTCCCCGTCTCGGGGCTGGGGCCTGGCGGAGGAGCAACCGCGCGCCTCTCCCTATCGGAGGGCTAGCTTTGCGCGCTCCCTGCGGCCCCAGCCTGCCCGCCCTGCCCGAGAGTCCCTCCTCCCGGGACCCTCTTGTTCGCCCTTACCGCCCCCTCCCCGGCCTGAGACGGGTGGGCTCCTGCAGCCGCCGAGGCCCGCGGGGCGCGAGGCTCTGGGGATTCCGGGGCTTTCCGGGTGCTGGGCCTCCGAGGACGGACGGGTCCCCAGCTCCACCCGCGGGCGGCTCCCGGGTCCGAGGAGCTAAGAGAAGATCTATTAATTTCTCCGCGCAGAAATCGATGCTCTTGTCAGGACGGCGATCGATGCCAGCCCAGCCCCGCGGGGCCCCACCCGGCCTGGGGCCCGGCGCTGGCCGGCCGGGGTCAGGGGCGGTCGCTGGGGCCTGGGGCGCAGCTCCGCGGGGGCTGCAGACCGCGCCCCCAGCCCCGTGGAGCTCACACCTCTGCGCGCGGGCCTCTAGCGCCACCCCGTGGTCTCTCCTGAAAGCGGGCACCTCGGCTCCCTGGGCTCCCTTCTCCGGCTGTTTTGGGGCGACACCTTCCTTCTTGCCCCAGATCCTGCGTTTTGTCCTTTTGGATTCCCCTCCCCTTTCTTCCTAGGGTTAGAGAGTTTTTCACCTCATTTACCCCAAGTGATATCGTACACTCCCTCAGGGGCGCGCACCGCTAGGAGGGAGATCTGAGGCGGGGCGCTGGCTGGGATGACCCCGACCGTAACCTTGCCCCCGCCCTGTCATCTTCCCGCCCCCTAAAGGCAGCTGCTTTAAGCTGGGAGAAATAACGGATCAACTTCCCAGCCACCGCCCCCCACCCCAGCAGACACCTCTAAGGCGTTTCCTCTGGAGCTGGTGGTTTTGGGGGGAGAAGGGGTGCGGGGTCCCCCGAAAGGGGTGGGGGCAGCCTTAGGACTGAGGACGGGAGGGGTGGGGGTGGAGCCAGAGGGGGCAGGGCGGGGCGGGGCGGGCCGCGGGCCCCGCCCATTCCCGGCGGCCGGGTCTTTAACGCTGTGGGCGCACGTGTCGCGGGAGGCCCGGCGGCCGCGGCTGGGAGCGAGCGCACGGACGGCTGCCGGCCGGCGCGATGCTGCGAGGCGGACCTCGCGGGCAGCGAGGCGGGTATGGCCGGGCGGCGGGCCCGGGCAGCCTGCTGGCCTGGATGATGCTGGCGTCCGCGAGCGCCGCGCCCTGCCCCGATGTCTGCTGCCCCCACGGCCCCTCGGGGCTGCGCTGCACCCGGCCTGGGGCCCTGCATAGCCTCCGCCGCCTGCCGGGCGCTGAGAACCTGACCGAGCTGTGAGTGTCCGGCGGGCGAGCGGGCGCGAGGGGCGCGGGGGGCGCGGGGGCAGGCGGGCGTAGCCGTGCCCCGAGGGCGCGCGCACTCTCGTCGGGCGGGCGGGGTCCGGAGCGGCGGGCGCGGCGGGAGGCTGCACCTGGGCCTGCCTCCGCCACCGCGGCTCCCCGGCCGCCACGGCAGTGACCATCTGAACGGTGCCTGGTGCTCCGTGCAGCTGGGGCAAGGGGGTTATCCGCGGACCAGGTCTGAGACAGCCCGGCCATCCCGAAGCAGTCTTCTGGAGATCAGACAGGAGCCCAAGCTCTGCCTCTTGGAGGGGGGGTTTAGCTGCGGAGACCCCTCTGTTTGGCACCCTTACCACTTTAGCCCCTTTCCAGGGGGGAGCTAGGCCCTACCCCGTTCCTTGCCATGATCGGGCAACTTCAGCTCTTGCCTCTGGAACTGGGATTGAGCTGGTATAGGTGGGAAGGGGTGAGGAGGCATAGCTTGGTGGCTGGGCTTCTCTTCTCCCCATTTCCACCGTCTCTTGATTTGGGTGTAGAGGATGAGACTCCTGGCTTCTCTGTCCCTGCCCGGCTCCCTTTCCGCCCTTCGCTCCCTAGCTGGGGCGGAGAGCTAGGGCTCTTGTTGACAGACTGTCCTCTTTTCAGGGCCCCAAACTGGGAGAAATCTCCAGCACTCTGTAGTACTCCAACAACCTGCAGTAATTGGTTACAAAATACTGGAGTACTTGTTAGCAGCTGGTGAAACCTATGGGAGTATTCTGTAATAATTGGCCTAGAGGTACTTGAACATCACATGGCCATGCCTGGAAAATACTTGAGTATTCTATGTAGCTGATGGGGCCAGCAAGACTTCTAGAAGAGGGGAGGGACTGCTAGAAAAATCCTCGTCCTGCCGCCTGGGGCTTAGAGGGTGGTCAAGGAGCGCTGGCCTCATGCGGTGACGGGGACGGGTTGGAAGGCATCCGAGGTGGAAACCGTCTCTGTCTGGAAGTTACTTGAGCAGCCTGTGATAATTGGCAGCGAGGTACTCCCGTATCTCGTGGTAATTAACGGGAAGGTTCTCAGTCTCTCTCTTTAATGGCCCTAGGGAGACCAGGAGATGAGGAGATGGCCTTGTCTGGGTCTGGGCCTAGGGCTTTGCAGGATGGGAGGGGCCGCCACCCCCAGCCCCGTCCCCCCAGGCCCCTGCACCTTCACACCAGGGCCCCGGGCTCCAGAATGTTCCCCCATCAGAGCTGTCCTCCTCGTTCCCTTCCCCAAGTGGGTCCAGCCCCCGGGAGGGTGGGTGGGGGGCATGGACAGGCAGGGCCGAGGACCAGGAGGCACGCAGAGTGGGGAGCTGAGAGGTCCCTCTGGGTGGGGCAGCAGCCTGACCCCCTGCCTCCGCCTGCCCGTCCTCTCCTCCTCCCTCACCCGCAGAGCTAACGAGGAGATAATGGACTCGGAAAGACAGATTGATGATGAATCCAAACGAATGAGGCAGCTTTGAGTGCGCTGCCCGACAGCTTGCACACGGCCACCGCCACCCCTTCCTGGGTCCCTCCAGCTCTAAACCCTGTGGGCGGGGGGGGGGGCTGAGCTCTCCCAGAGTCAGGGGAGGTTGCTCCCTAGGCCCCCCGGGACCTTTGACCCGCTACCTGGCTGTGCGGCTGGGCTGGGGCTGGGAAGGGGGAGGGGGAGAGGTCACGCAGGCTGGTCCCCGCTCCAGCCAGGGAAACGGCGCGGGAGAGGGGAGAGTTCTGAGAAGAGGCAGTGAGTCAGGGGCCCCTGGCGAGTGTGTGTGTCCATGTGCGTGTGTGCACAGGCGGGGGTACACTGACGTGCCGCTGCAGGGCACCCGAGTTCTCAGGAACTGTGTGGCGTGCCAGATCCCGAAGCTGGGCAGGGCCCAGGGCGTCGGCAGCCTCCATCCCCGAGTGCCCGTCCTTCTGCCCCGGCTCGCTACCAGGCTTTCTCTGGCGCTCTGTCCTTATCTCTGGGTCTCTCTGTCTCCTTGTCCTTATCTGTCTGTGCCCTTGCCTATCTCTCTCTCTCTCTCTCTCTGCCAGTCTCTTCCAGCTCATTGTCTCTTTCTCCGTGTCTCTGTTTCACTATCTCTGTGTTTCTGTGCCCCCCTCCTTGAGCCTTCCCATCACTATCTTGCCCTGTAAACCAGCCCTGCTGTGCCTCTCCACCTCCCGCCCCTTCTCCAGCCTCCCAGTGCCTCTGTCCCCTTCTCCGGTCCCTCTTGGGGCAGGGAGGGGCTCAAGGGGGTCCCTGACCGACAGCCTCCGTGCCCTTGCTTGCTCTGCTGAAGGCTGGGGCGGGGGTAGGGGTTGCTGCCCGAGTGTAGGGAGGGGCCGTGGCTTCGGGGAGGTTTGTGCGTGCGCGCGCACGCATGCGGGAGCGAGCGCACAGCGGTGTGGGTCGGCCCAGACAGGGACTGTGTGTTTGGGAACACGCGGATCTGCGTGGCCACAGGGTTCCCTCTGTGCTGCGGGGGCCAGTGGCTGTGGTGGGCCTTGGTTCTCTGTGGAAGCCAGTGTGCCAGCGTGACCCCCATTTCTGAGCACGAACAGGAGAGGCCCTGTAGAAAACCAGAATCCCGAGCTGAGTGTCTATGAATGTGGAGCCATTTGTGTGCACGAGAGA